GTACAATAAAATATAAAAAAAAAAAAAAGTTAAGTATTTTGACTCGCTTTGGAGAGGAGGAAGCAGATACACCCTTACACTGCTGGTCAAAGTGTAGCTGGTCGGGGCTCTTGGGAAGATCTGCACATACACTTCCCCCAGGACATCCCACCCATTCACCCGCAGAGACGCACACTTCACCACTGTGACACCAACAAGCCTAGGCACACGCAGGTGTCCGTCTACGGCAGAGGATCCAGCTCCCAGCATCAGACAAACGAGTCATGGGCACCTGACCCCAGAGAAACAAAGCGGATAAAAACACCAACATGCCAGTTATCCCGGACTTCCCCAACCCCCACGCCAAGAGCCCCATTTTACACACACCGAGGTCCTACGGGACACCCTGCTGAACGAGCGGATCCCAGCCACTGTCTTGTCATGGAACTTGCCCTGCTGTCCTCTCCCCCCTGCTAGGGGAAACATGGAGGGGTGTGGGGCAAAGGTCTTTCCCACAGAAGCCCTGCTGCTGCCTCAGGTCAGCCTGAGAGAATCCCAGGGAGCCAGTTTTCACTGGTCTTGGCCTGTCACAGTGGCCACATTTTTACCTGCCCAGACCATTGGATTAGGCAAGTTCACACGATGTGGTCCTGCTCAAGAAGTGAGGGCAGCCTGTAGGGGGTTTTGGGAGGGATCTTTGCTCTTAGGGGGAGACACAGATTTTGGAGACTGTCTGTGATGACAGGGACTGTTGCAGCCTCTTTGGGATGACATAACTGGCCTAAGAGAAGCAGTCAATCTGCCGCGGGTGGTGCCAAAGCATGGAGGAAATCAGGCCTGAGACCACAGTAAAGTATCTTCCAGGGGTGGTGGCAAGACTGGGTGATTTGGTGGCAGTTACTGCGTCAAAGACCCAGACTTCCTCTGCCTTCTTGATGTTAATGTTTAAGACAATCTTCACTAATGACCCTGTAGCCCCATTGCCCCCACCCAAAGAAGGGAGTTGAGCATGTGCTCCGGGAGGCACGCCAGGCCCTCACACCCAGCCATGCCATCTAGGTTCACAATTGTTTTCTGACAGTACAGGGTTATCATGAGGGATGGCACCAACCCGGCAGGTGTCTGTCCTTGGAGAGCACTGCAGCCTTTCAGAAAGGTTTGCCATTGCTCTGGCTCTTTAAGGAAAATCCCCATGTTGGTTGTGTTGCAAGAGCTACTTCTGGAACAGCTGCGTTCCTCGGAACCACTCCTCCCACCTCCCTGTCCAGCAGCCCCCTCCCCTGCAGTCACCTGTGCTCTGACCATGAAGACCTCCACATGTTCTTCATCCTGTTCCCAAAGGTCTCTCACCTCAACCGCCACCACCCTCACCTGCTCCCCCAACCCTGGGGCACCCTGGCCTTGGCCTCACCCTTCCATTAACACTGCGGCCTTCGAGCCTCTTCCGCCTCCCACCCCACCGCCGCCCTCCGTGCCCAA